TCGCACGGGCACTTAAAAAATTGGCAAAGACGCATGGCGAGGAATGGAACTGGCTTAATATTTTTTAATGCATTCGCAGTGTCAGAAATCTGTGGTAATGATTTGTTTTATGTGGACACAATTCATTATATGTAACACAATTAAAAACTGAAGCTGCGATAATATTGTGAAATTAATTATTATTATTTTTTTTGGGGCCTATAACTGTAAGATTTTAAAACTGATCACCACGCCTCGAGTGCCTGCTGATTTAAAACAAAGCAGTAAGAGACCAGCATCATGTGCCCCATTACGTGACTACACATTTTTTTTTTCAACCGAGGCTTGACTTCGGTAACTGTATGATGATTAGTTACAGGACGAGGTAATTAACTGAGGAGTTCTTTCTATCAGAAATGTTAAGTGCAATAATTACATACATAAGCGCATTTGAAACATAGAACGGTTCTTAATACGTTAGTCTCCCCCACCAAATGTAGGTCAACTTCATTGATAAGTTTGTTGGACTAGTCTACCGTGGTCGAGGTTATGGAAGTTTCGGTCTCTTGGTGTCTTGCGTTTACGTTTTTATTCCGAGAAAGAGACTGCCTGTCACTCTTGGGGTTAGGGGGGGGGGGTGTTAGACCCAGTATCTAAATGCTTTTGTAGTGTTAAAAGCTCTGGCAGGGTGATATATTCAACATGCGCTATCAGCGTGACCTTGTGTGGAAGTCGGATCCTCGAGACCGACCTATCAGAGGTGAGGTAGGCTGGAGATCGACTAATCAATAGCGAGCTAGTGTGTACTGGTGTGAAAATGGGGAGACCAAGGTAATAATAACCCATATAACTTTTTGATTGAAAAACTATTTTCATATATTTATTAACTCATAGTGAAATACTTTTTTGGCTAGTTGAAACTTGCTTGTTGCTCATTATGTAACCATTCGTACTGTAGATTGTTCTTGACTGCCTTCATTTCATTCTCACTGTATAACGTGACTAATATTCTACTTTCGTTTTTTTGACATGAGTATTGCATTTTGTACCCAGATTCATAACACTTGTGATTACCTTTGCCGTTTTTACTCGAGAGTCTTATGTTGTATCATATCTATTATCATGTCTTTTATTACACCGCATATGTTAATCGCCTATCTTATTATTTACTGTGTCTAATTTCAGGTCAATTTTTTTTTTTTAAATTGTTTTAAATTATATTCTATCTGGTATCATGTCTTGTGTATAATATCCATGGCCTGTCCATTAAAACTCGCATATGTATAGTCTAGCGTCATGTCCTAAATCATTCCGAATCTCCTCGTTATGATTATCTATTGTAAATTGTCGTGTATCACGTCTTGAGTCAAGTCTTATATCTTCACTTATAAAGTGTCTTGTATCTGGTCGAGTGGCATCTACTGAATTTATTCATGTATTTTCCATTGTATTTTGTTTTGTTTCTTGTCTTGCATCATGTCTTCGATCATGCCTAATGTTTCGCATTCTACGAGGGGTGTTTCAAAAATTAATGCATCACATCGTTTTTTCTCAGGTGCTGTTTAATCAGAAAGAATGGGATTTGTATACAATATACTTTGGTATTATTCAACATAATTCCTATGAACTTTATGAGATTTATGTCAGCGTAAAGACGTGCATGTTTTCCTAGCCTATTCCAGATTTTGTCTTTAGCATGAAGACATTTCTTCACTGCGTGAATCACTCCTATATCAAACTCCTATATTCAAACCTTGTCCTACGGAGTGCATTTTGAAGTGGACCGAATAGATGACAATCAAAGGATTCGGAAAAGTGACTATATGATGGTTGGAATAGCACAGTCCCACACAGTTTGATGATTGCTGCTCGTCTTGCATACTTGTATAAATGCGCGTGTTGTTGTGAAGGGAAAGCAGGTTTGCGTGTGAGAGCGCGTGTTGGTGTGAAAGGAAAGCAGGTCTGTATGTAAGGGCGCGTGTTGTGGAGAAAGGAAAGGAGGTCTGTATGTGAGAGCGCGTGCTGGTGTGAAGGGAAAGCAGGTCAGTATGTAACAGCGTGTGTTGTCGTGAAGGGAAAGCAGGTCTGTATGTGAGAGCGCGTGTTGTCATGAAGAGAACGCAGATCTGTATGTGAGAGCGTGTGTTGGTGTGAAGGGGAAGCAGGTCTGAGAGCGCGTGTTGTCGTGAAGAGGAAGCAGGTCTGCGTGTGAGAGCGCGTCTTGGTGTGAAAGGAAAGCAGGTCTGTATGTAAGAGCGCGCTTTGTCGTGAAGGGAAAACAGGTCTGTATGTGAGAGCGCGTGTTGGTGTGAAGGGAAAGCAGGTCTGTATGTGAGAGTGCGTGTTGGTGCGAAGGGAAAGCAGGTCTGTATGTGAGAGCGCGTGCAGTCGTGAAGGCAAAGCAGGTCTGAATGTGAGAGCGCGTGTTGTCGTGAAGGGGAAGCAGGTCTGCGTGTGAGAGCTCGTGTTGTCGTGAAGGGAAAGCAGGTTGTATGTGAGAGCGCGTGTTTTCGTGAAGGGA